TAAAGATATATATATATATATATATATATATAATTGGCATTATTAAGCTTCAAAACAAAGATAAAAATCTGAAGAGCGATTATGAAATAGACAAGAATATCGTATCAATACTTGGCAAAAAATAAACTCTAAATTGTTACTTGGCATACTTTAATGTTTTGGTACTTTTTTTTTCATTGTACACAATATGCAAAAAAAAAAAGGATATAATACATGAATGACATGAAAATTGGAAAAAATATTTTTCATAATGAAAAATGAATGCTAGAGTGAATCAAACAATATTTAGAATTATTTCAAGAGCACCGTGAAATGTTTTTAGAAAATATGATCACTTTACTGGTCGATGAAACCTTTTCAAATGTACCGTTTACTTTGTATTTTCTATTTGTTCATGTTTTACATAACTTAACCATATAAAATCAATATATATATATTTTAAAACATCTTCCTTTATTCGGATCTATTTGTAAATTAAAATTATAGGAATACATGATATCAACATTAAACTTTAAAAATATATCAAATGGAAATGAGTCAACTAATTATTTTTTAATAATGTACAATAAATAAATAGGCGATTAATAATTTGGTTGTACTTTAAAACAAAAAGATTTCACCAACGTTAAAAAAAATAGTCATACTTCACATCAGAAATAACATAGGTAAGAAATGAAGGGAATTTTTTCTTGAGCATCCGTTTAAATATGGAGTTCTTAAGCATTGGAGTGGGAGTTTTTAAAACTTAGACTTCGTTAAACACGGTAATGCAAAAGCATTTCGTTTGCCTAAAATACTGCTACTATTATTGTCGGGATCCTTTTTCTGAGCCACGGAGTGAATGTTCAAAAGCTCCGGAGATTTTTCAAGCGTATTCGATTCGAAAGGATTCTCACACGGCGCAAGCGGTTCGATAGGAACGGATAACTCGTATTTGGTGATATTTTTACTCATCAAGGTCGTCGAGTTATGGCCCCCGCTGCCCTTCAGGAGATCGATGGAAATATTGCTATGGCTGCGGCAGCGGTTGTTGGGGGTGCTTTTTAAGGGTGGGGGGGTTGGTTCCAAATAAAACGGCCCATCCACCTCCGAGGATTTGTCGGGGAAGCTTGCCAATCGGGCCCGAATCGGCATCGCATTCGCCCCCTTATCGCTAATAATAAACGGGGGGTTCTGGGTGGTTGGGGTCAAACTCCTGCTAGAGGCGATGGGGCTGACGTGAAGATGATCCCGAAAGCTCTCCAAAGACCCGGCAAAGCCTTTAATTTCCTCTCGAAACGTGTTGGCTTGGGCTAATTGTTCATTGTGCGTGCGAAGAATCGTCAAAAACGTCACCTCGGGGGAACTCGCGCCGCTGTCCGGCCTCACGCGTAGGATGGGCTCGGCCTCCGGCGAGGAGCGGCCTTTGAAATGAACGTTTGAGGCCTCAATTTCGTCCACAAAGAGAAGCTCGCTCGAGAGGCGCGGAATATCCCCGCTGGTAAAGCTCAGGCAGGAGACGCTGTCGGTGATCTCCGGGGCCATCTTGCAGCCAAGTGCGATGGACGCGCGCGTGAGCAACGTCTCGCGGAACTGCTGCGCAAACCGCGCCGGGAGCATCTCAAAGTACTTCAAAAATAGGTAATCGCGCAGGTTGGACAGGTTTTCGCTGGGCTCGCCGAGGGTTCGAATTGAGCCCTTCTCAATGACGTCATAGACGGAAAGCACCATGGAGTGAAATAGGGTGTGCGCCTGCGAACCACCAATCGTCTGATAGGCCTGGAGCATGGTGCCGAAGATATTGTTCTCGTAGATGAGTTTGCGAAAGAGCAGAGCCACAATATTATGCGAGAGGATCGGGGTTAATGCGTTGCTAATCGAGGAAGGCCGCTCTTTCAAGGGGCTATTGCCGTCAAGGTGCACGAGAATGGTCTTGATAAAGTGGGTAATCGTACACAGCACATCCAACCCAATCGGCCGCTGCAATTTCACGTTGATCCTGGCGATTTGGTAGCATCGCTCGATAAAGCGAAGAACATGTCCCTTATGGCCGAGAATGGCTTTTAACACCAATTCTCGGTTTTCCGGAGACGCCAGGGTGATCAGGTAGTCGAGCAGACGTACCAACATTGGGGAAACATCCCGCGGTAGGTCCTCCATTAATGTCGAATTAAGGGCGTTTCCAATAGAGGGGTATTGGCGTGTCGAATCCAATCCCTGTATGTTCCATACTTCCATCGGCGTCAGCGTAATGTAGGCGGCACGCTGCAGGTATTTTAAAATGAAATGACGATGAAATCGGTTGCGAACGTCAATGGACTTGGGGGACATTGGATGACCAATTGAGATGCTAGATTCATTATCGTGGAGGCCTAGAACGTCAAAGATCGTGAACGAGTTCTTCGTGCCCAATATTCCTTCCAGGGCAAACTTACCGTCCCATAGTGATCTCCATCCCGGGTCAAAGAGCACCTGCCGAAACATAAAAACCATGAGACCGTTGTATTTAGAAGGATTCGCTAAAATAGGGGAGCGTACGATTTCGTTCATGAGTTGTTCATCCCTTTCCTCGTTAAGACTGGTAATGCTCGCGTGGAGTAGTTTGTTAAGCTCGATATCAATGGGTTTGGAATACCTGTTTGGAGAAGGCGTGCTTGATGAGGATTCCAATTTTCGCGAGCTGCCGCTGGTACTGCGGTGATAGCCCAAGGCGTCATCTAAAAATCCACTCGTTGCCCCCGATGGCATCGCATAGCGCTCCGCCACGAGGGATAAAACCTCTAAAATACCTTCTTGAAAAGCCTTCACTACCACAGGCCCCACCGAATCACGGCCAAGTTCGGCGATGCCAAGTGTAATGCAGCTTCGGAGAAAACGAAGGTTCGCGAGCACCTGCTGCTCCGCGCGCTGCCATTCCTGGATTACGGGATCATTTGGGTGGTGTGGTGAGCTGCTGCCATCGCGTTCGCGGGTTTCCGAACTGCCGTTCGGGATTTCATACTCAACAGGTGGACTCGAACATCGGTCCTTTACCGGCGGTGCGATCTCAAGTGAGCTTTTAATTTGCTTAAGAATTTCATCGTTGGATAGTAGCGCGCACATGATTATATTACGTAAACGCTTTACGATAATACTAAGCTTCTCAAATAGCTGCGACTTCGTCGTCTGTGATTCCAAGATGTGCAAAAGTTGAGCCGCACGCAAATCTTTAGAAAAAATTGAGACTAGCTCTTCTGAGATAGTTAGGTTGCTTAAACCGTCTGGATTTAACCAAGTTTGGGGCGGGGATGTACAACCAAGTCCTTTAATCAATAAAGGAAAGACTTCATGATTGAGTAATTCCTCTACTAATTCATTATTTGCTATGTCAAGCAGAGCAAGGATCACACTACTATCTTTGTAAAGTTCTGGAAGGTTGAGATGACCAAACTGCATTAGACAGAGGGAAATAAAGTGCTTATCGATAAACCCCAGTGGTGGATTGTATTCATCATGAAGAAAGACGGAGTAAGGCAAAGATTGTGAAGGTGCTTGAGGCAGGTGAGATCCATTAGGGGATTCAGGAGACAAAATTAGTGTGGTAGCCTCTTTGCTAGATTCATGCATGTCCTCTAAGGCCTGTCGGACGGAGAGACTTAAGAAGTCCAACTCAAAATTCGGATAGGTCTTCCCTTGAATAGCTATTAGTGCGCTCCACGAAGCAATATACCCATTCACGGAGCAGAACATAAGACATAGGGAACGCTTTTTGTCGAGGCTATTCCACACAATGGAGCAGTTCTTACCGATAAAGATTGTCTCGGTTGTTATAGTATCCTCTAGGATAATGGTATCCTCGTTTTCATTATTATTACTATCCCCTCGCACAAACTCGGAGCCGTTGCATGTATCACCCGAAGTGTCGACAAAGGGACACAACTTTTGCATGGGATAATCCTCACGTTTCTTGGATGTTGTTTTCATATTTTCTTCAGAAGGGCCAAACTTATCCTTCGATGAAATACTTGTCTCGGCAGCCGCAGAGTTTTTTTTTACCTTTTGGCCTGTCTTTCCGGAGGCAGCAGAATGCTGCTGCTGCTGGTCGTTCGTTAAGGCTTCACTCTGAGGCAACAACAACGAGGGAGACGCTTTCACATCTCCCGCCCAATTTGAACTACAATTATTCCCATTGCTTTCCGGCCTATTCGAAGCCAGGACACGAATGGTATAATCGCTGAACTCCACATAGCCACGCCCACCCTCCATCCACTGACTCCTTGAGCCGAGTGGCTGCGTGAAAACCCGAACCGTGAGATCCAGAAAGGATTTGGTAAGGCGAGGCAATTGGATGTCAAGATTACTATTGGTAGGTAACTCGGCATCTTTACGAGAAGATTTCATTTGATCCTTTAAATTACCAGAGACAAAAGCTCCTTGTCGTTCGGTATTCAATTCTGTAAGTGAAAGATTTTGTCCGGCAGGAAACTCAGTATTGACACATATGGATGCTTTGTTGTCCATTGGACGCTTATGTTTACGTATTAGAAGAGATTTTGCACATTTCGGTGCTTTACTTTTATCTTTTCTTGATTCTGACATTTCAAGCTAAGCCCTTTAATGTATATATATATACACATATGTACCCTGTTTTTGAAAATAGAATAATAGAGGCAATATTGTAAAGTACATAAATTTTGCTCTTTTCACATGCGATCAGGTGCGTTTACAAACGCTCAGTAATTACAAGACAGGCTTTTAAAAGGCTTTTTCTTTAGAAATTCCCTTACTTGCATATTCGCACGCGTACCCAATGTGATATGAAGTAGTTAATGCTTTAACTTAAGCAAAAAGGATTACAATCATTTCTAATGCTATGCATTGCCTCAAAAAAAAGAGACGAGAATCAGAAAAAATAAAGGGCACAAATAACACTGGAGCTTGATCTTCTCATCTATTGAGAAATAAGGTCTGAAAATCCTCCCATACACCCTTCTTCTTTTCCAAAGAATTAAAGATACCATTAAAATTATTCATTTGCCTCTTTGTATGATGGCTACAACAGCTCTATTCGTCCCACCCTTCCCTCCATATGTGAAAAGTATACAGAAAACCTTAAAACAGAAGGGTAAGAAATTCGAGGTCACCTTTTTTTTTATGTTCACAAAAGTAAATCTGTACAAAAACAACAAAGTCTTGAGAGTTGATACTCCCCCCCCCCCCCTCCCCTTTTGACTGATTATTGGGTGCGCACCATTAACGGCTCAAACGCGGTGATGGCCCGGGTGGCGATGAGACCGACAAAAGGGCTGCCCAGCCCGTCCATCGTGAGGACCGGGGCGATATTGCAGGACTTCAAAAGCATGTCCGCCTCCTCGACGAGGGCGGGGTCCGGCTCCCGAGGCGCGCGCGCGGGCGAGAGGTCGTCCCCCCTCCCCCCTCGTCGTCCTCGGGGTCGGCCAGTGCGAGGCAGGGGCAGTACATCATGTCGTTGGTCACCACCAGACAAAGCGCGGAGAGCCGTCGGAGGAGGTCGGCGGCTTCCCCTTCGACAGCGGCGGAGCCACCGCGGTCGGGGGGGCCCGGGGGCCGCGTTTGCCCCCCCCGCTCGAGCCTCCAGAGGCGGGGGATGAGGTACTTCATCGGGATCGCCAACGGGGAGTCCCCCGGACGGCATCGCGCGTCGCTCATCGAGACAATACACCCCCCCATGTACCCCACCAACTCCCCGGGTTGGAAAGCCTTGCCGGAGAATTGGCGCCGCGTGAGGTTGAGCAGAAGCCGGCGCGTGGCCTCCAGCGGGGTCGGCCACCCCCCCACCTGTGGGGCCCGACGCGTATGAAGAAGGGTAAACCCATCCATATTCGGGTGGGCGTGGAGGAGGTTGCGCGAAAAAAGAAGCTCGCGGCATTCAAGCGTGTTCGTTGAGGGTTTCACGGCATCCACATCGGCCCGTGGTGGGAGGGCGGTGTCGGCTCTCCCACTAGGGGAGGGCCGGACCCACCCATACCGCACGCAGCAATCCAAATCCGCGCCGTCCGTGGACTTCCCCGACTGCCGACCTCGTTGTTTGGGCAGGCGTCCGAGTTTGGACGTGCCCATCCTGCGCCCTTCATCTCGATGCATCAAAGCCTCCTTTGAGGGGTCGGGCTCATTCGGATCCAGGTTTTCGTCACTGGGTCCGTCGTTATAGACGATAAAGAGATGCTCATCATGACTGTTGACGTTGTAGATAAAAACGTGTTCGTGTGGGACAAATCTGGAGTACTTGCTAAGCGCAACCATTGAAATGACGTTATCCCAAATTTGCCATGGCAAGAAAGGAATGTTCATGGGCCAGTCCACATGCACAGAGCTGTAGCCAGGGGAATGATTGTTAGGACTAATGCAGGCATTACCCGAAGAGCCCAGCAAAGGGTTTCCCACTAAAGAACTGCTTAAATGTGTGGAGGCTGCAGAATGGTCTAACGGCGGGCGCCCTCGTTTTTTGGGATTCGGAGAAAATGAGGACCCCGCTGGTGTCTGCAGTGTCTGTGTTGTCAATGGATGTAGGGAAGACGAGTTTGCGTCCGAATGCAGATGAGAAACACTTCGTTCAGCTGGAAAAATGGCATCCATGTCAGATGGCACTGAAATCCCACCCTCTGCTGACAAAAACTCTGAGGTGATGGGTGGGGAACTAAGTACTGAAACCATCTTGGCGCCACTTAACTTTGGGGTAGAACAGTGACTGCAGTATTCAATTTTTAAAATTAATGGGCTTGCGCAGATGTTCCAGGCGCCACATTGAGTGCATTCCCAGGTGATATGATAAGCAGCGGTGAGATCGACCGATGCCGACGAAGAAACAGAAACCGCTTCATTTAGTAAGAAATCCTGAGGACTGCTACCAGCCGTCTGTGCAGTTTTTTCACCAGGGAAAGCATCAGCACCTTCATCTTGGTCCCCTTTAAGCGGTGTTAGATTTGGGAATGGTATGATACCGCCGCTGCGGTACTGCAAGAGAGCCTCACCACGTGCATTGATCCAAGGTGTAGGGCTTAAGCTATGTGCTTTGCCGTACGCCATCAATATTTCCTCGCCCTCATTGATTTGTCGACGTGCCACCAGCGCCGTGAAAGGCTCCCCACGAGAGTTGAACCGACTTTCCGCGGTCATATTAGCCGTGCAGCCTTCGATACTTCGCGGGTCATTGGCGAAGCGGCCGTGGTTCCCGACAAACTCCGCATCCAGCGCGTAATCGTCGTTGATCGTGCCGAAGCCCATTGTGTAGGTTCGGGAATTACACGATGTGCTGAAAACCTCAATAAACCCGGCGTACGACGTGACGATGGTGTTGTTCGAAATCGTCCGTTTAGCGAAAAGTCCGCTTTGGCGGTAGGCGGGATGCCGCGGATCGGTGATCACCCGTACCTCGACGAGGTCTTCGGGAAGGTAATCCGCCGGGACGTAGCCCGGAACCACATCAGGGTTCACGAGCTGCTTGTAGAAAATAAAGAGCTCCATGAAAAGGATAAGCCGCTCCTCCTTGCTGATGGCAGTGTCGAAAGCAAGGAAATGACGAGCATGGGGACCAGGTACGAACTTAAGGGACCGGCGAGAGGGCATGCAACGGACACCCTTCAGTATGCTCTCCATGGTTATTTCTTTACTGCATAAAGGGAGTGGAAATGAAAAAAAAAAGTACCAAAAAGTACCCAAAGGAGATTAAAATTTAGTATCTTGTAAGCTTTTTCACCATTTATTTGTCTTTTCGTGAGTGACTTTGGTGTTTTCGTTTGCTTATATTGCTATTGTCCATATACATATCTATCTATAGATATATGTGTGTAGGCTGTAAAGAGGTCGCTAAATGTAAGAGCAGTAAAATTAGCGATTAGATTAATTTAATAGAATAACAACCACAGGTAATCACCATCCTGGCAGTGGTAGCAATCTTCAGGTCGCATCAAAAGCAGCAATCGCAGTCAAACGGGCAATTTGGCGTGGTCCCCGCACGTGGATTGTTTGAAAGCATCTTCTGAAGCTCACCCTCAGAAACAATGCGATCCACCCCCTCTGTACGAGATAGATTATCGCTCCCTAAGTTACGAGCATTATTTTTTGAAGGCTTCTTATTTGAGCTGGATAATGAGGATTCAAAAAACTTGTCATCACTCATTTTAAGCGTCTTCTCAGGTGCACGATAAATCCCATCCGACTCTGACTTTATCTTTTTGGATTCTGGAAGAGCTTCGTTCTCCTTCGACCGTTTCGAAGACTTACTAGATGATTGAAAATGCGTTTTATTAACATTTAAGCGGTTATTACGATTTATAGAATTATTTAAGCTGGCAGTTACACCAGTTGTCTTTATTTTTTTTGAAGAGGATATTGAGCTAAAGATGGAATCGATATCATTTTGTTCCTTAGAGTGTAGGTTTGTCCTAGAAATGGCCTTGAGGTTCTGGTTCACCGGTATGTGATTAGATTCAGATATTTTTTTCATTGCACCTGAACCGTTTCTATCTTCCTTGGCATTCTTTGTAGCATGCACACTCGTACTTCTTTGTTTTTTCATATCAAATAGTAGCGTATTTTTTTTTCGTCAATACTATGAGTTCTATATAATAGATTTCGTCTTTGTTTAAACTCGTTTTTTGCTCTTAAAAACATGGTTAAAAAATAATAGATATTTATGAATAGGGTTATATTTGTAAAATTCGACATTGCATCTTTGCTTGTAAACATTCTACAGTGCCTAATACTATACTAAAAAGTTCATGGGTTTGAGTCAATTATCTTCATCACTCAAGGTTAATAATATTTCGTTCAATAATGTGATATGGACAAAATTTGATTTAACAGCACATAATGGAATGAAAAAAAGATGAAGGAAATATAAGTGCAAAATGTGCCGAGTTTTGCTAAGTATACGTGAATATATTTATATATATATCCATAACACTAAACCTCTTTTTATGAACAAAATTGTGCTCTAGATATTATAATATACTTCAATGTTCTTCGAAAAGGGTTTGCCCGCCATTGTAGACTCAATTTCATCCACGGTGCGTGGTACACAGGTATAGTTCACTGCACCATTCTCTGTTACAAGGACATCGCTTTCAATGCGGACGCCTCCAAAATCCCGGTATTCGTTTAGTTTGTCCTCATTCACAAGGAACTTCAAAGCATCATTGCTAAGCAGTTCCTGCATTAACGCTTCATTAAAATAACAGCCGGGCTCTACGGTGATGTACAGACCTGCCTCCAGAACACGCGCAGTGCGTAGCCTACAGCAATCCTTCCTAGTAGGACGAGGCGGACAGTCCTCAAGGTAAGAGCCCACATCATGTACATCAAGTCCAAGAAGATGACCAAGTCCGTGAGGCTGGAAATATTGCATTACTTCCTTTTCCATGAGCTCGTCAACGTCACCTCGTAGTAGACCGATTTGCACAAGATGCGTACAAGTCGTCCGAATAGCCAATTGATGTAAGTAAACCCAAGACACACCCGGTTTGATCGCGCGAAGAACACGATCATGGGCCTCAAGCACGGCGTTATAAATCGCCTTTTGTGGTTCGCTAAACCTCCCATTGACTGGGAAGCTGCAGGTGATATCAGCGGCGTAGCCACGATAGTTGCCGCCCATGTCCAAGAGCGCCATCGATCCATCCTCGATAGGCTTATCGTTATGAGGGTAGTGCAAGATCGATCCGTAGTGACCAGTGGCGCAAATACACGTATAACTCACCCGGCGGCACCCCCCCTTGGAGTAGACCTCATGGAGGAAAGTGGACTCCAGATTATGCTGTGAGATTGTTGGTCTGCACATCTGCATTACTTTGATGTGGGCATCACTGGAAACCTTGCAGACGTACTTCAGAACCTCGACCTCGAGCGGGGTCTTGAGGGCGCGCTGGTTGCTCAGCCGGGTGAAGAGCCACGCGTCCTCGACCTCGAGTTCCGGGCAGGGTGAGGAGGCAGTGAGGACCGCCAGCCCGCTATCGGAGTTCACCCCCTTGAGGACCTCCACAGTGTGCACGTCCTTGTCGTGCAGGACCTTCGCCATCTCGTCCACGTAGTGCACTTCATCGACCGCCGTGCTCTGCTTAACCAATGCCGGGGTCGGGAGGGGTCCCATCCAGGTCGCGTACTGGGCCGGCAGGCGGGGGATGAAAATTATCCCGGTTCCGTCAGTCAGTACGGCGCCATACGCGTCTGGCATATCGATGCCAAAGAGGTAGTTGAAGTAGCTTTCTTGGACAAAGAGGTAGTTGCAATCGGTGGAGTTGATGGGAACCTCGGAAGACGCCTTGAGAAGAGCCGCATGACCTCCCTTGGTATAGTGTTCGCGTAAGCTCTTACTGAGCCGCTGACGCTGCTGCCTATACATTTCAAGATTGATAGGAAAGGGGTAGGCACCGGATTCGTTCAGTTTCACGGACATCTTTTTCTTGTTTGCGAGTATGTCTATGAATTTCTTTAATCGTATAATTTTTATGCGCTTTTTTTATTGGGGAAAAAAACTAGAAACTGTGAAAACTAGCCCTTTGTCTCAGCTTCATACCCCTTTCGAAATTAGTTCAATTTTTTTTCATTAATACATTGTCAATAAATTAATTAGCGTGACCGCATTGGACAACGATAACTACAACGTACTTCGCAATGATCGTGACATTTTGGATACTGAATAGGTACCTACGAGGTTACACTGCAAGAATACAGAGCTTTCTCGGTATATTAGTCAGTGGAACATGTGGAAAGTGGGTCGAAGTTGTGACTATATCTTTGAAGCTATTTGCAAAGGCAACCCTGTTATGTTAGTACACATTGGCACGAATAATGTATATTTCAAGACTAAGTATTACATATGCAACTCTAATATTCTTCCCTACCTCTTTCTCTCTTCTACAACAGTTTTTCGAATAAACTATCCTATCTGAGCTAGAACATGAGGAAGGTGCCTTGTACCAGGCTTGAATCATTTAAGATCCATTATATTCCCATAGTTTGCCTTCGATGAGTTGAAGCATATTTGAAAAGAGTAACAAAAATGAAACAGAATTCGGGAGAGTTTAAAAAATTTACTGGAAAAAAAATGGAATGATAGCCCTCGCGTGGCTTAACCACCACAACTTCTTCCGCCTACAGAATTTCCTGTTTCCTTTTCCATTACAATAACACTTAGGTCATTCTCAGAATACAGTTAAAGATGTTAATTAATTAATTCGTTTGGTATATCTAAGAGGACACTTTTTTTCTTCCAATCTTTCCAGAGATGGTAACATGTAAGGAATAAATTGCAAAGGACAAGTCGTATCGACACTGGTATTGAAATTCACCAATAAACTTGAGTCTCAAATAAAAATGAGCTCAGAACTTCAATCCCTGAAAGTCCTAAATAGATAGTTATAAGTAACTTTTAAGATGGTTGAAGAACGCACCATCTGTCCATGAGCCATCGCACGTTTATGCTATTTCATAAATTTCATACAAACTCATACGCGTCACTTGATCGCAGAGGTTCAGACAGCGTTGCCAAGCCGCCGGCTCCGTTTCCTTTAGTTGTGAGAGTATCAACTTAATAGCGCGCTGTGTATCAGCCATCTCGGTTGTCAAGGCGTAGACTAAGTCGAAAAATGGTTTTAGATTTCGAACGAGCACCCGCACGCCCTGACGCTGCACGGAAAGGAGAAACCCATTTGCGGCGATGGTTCGGTGTGGAAGCGGCTTGATGTTTCGCACATACTCGCAAAAGCGCTTCGCGATGGCCGCCAGCGGGAATTTGGCATTCATGCCCAGATCGGAGTCCCCATAAAGCATCATCCCCAGGCAAAGCGCGATGTTTTCCATCATGTTGCGCATATCAGCGGTGATATCCGGGCTGCAAAAGATCTCCGCTAGGCTTAGATACAGATGCGCTAACGTGGGGGAGTTGGCGAGGGTTGGGAGGTTGTTGATGTCAAGCTCATTTTCAAGAATATTACACAGCGCCCAGGCGACATTGCTAATAATACTGTACGTGCATTCATTCAATGCCTCAAGATTTGCGAGCGCCGCACGGCATACCGGATCCAATATAGACTGCACTTGCGTCGGGCAAGACTTCGCAATGTCGCCGATCAGCGCGAAGCCACTTTGCCGAATATCATGGTTTTCGTCCATTAAAAGGTGCTGTACCACCTGCATAAAGGCGGGTTGCTGCTCCAAGATAAGGGGTTCCATGCTGGAGCCGAGGGCATCAAAAAGCCCGGAAAGCAAATCCACCGAGGTGATTAAAAACTCCGGCTCCGGCGGCTCAGTCTGCGTTTCCGCGGCCCTTAAACGCATCTGCATGTGAATCGCTAAAATGCCGTACGCGCGGGCGAAAATCTCGCCCGCCATCGGCTGCATCTGAGGACCGAGCACCCTGCACACACTTGCCATACTTTGGAAAAAGGAAAGAATCAAGGGACTATCATTTGGAGTGCCCGCCCAGGCCTCCCCAAGGATCGACATGAGTTGTTGAATGGCGGCGGAATTCTCGCGGAGGGCGTACTCCGTGCACTCACAGAATGTTTTGAGTGTTTCGAAAAGTAAAACCCGGTTCTTAAGCTGATATCCTCGCATGCAATGCGCAATGCTGAGCACGATATCCCCTACTAAACCCTTCAACTGCCCTTCCGTGCAGAGCTCCGACATTGTCGCTAAGGCGCTTGTGGCACTCTCCTGCGTGAGCTTGGAGGGGCTTTGCATCTTGTTCAGGACCGCTCGCATGAATCGTTCCAACCGGAGCGGTTCATGGACAAGATACTGCCCGATCTGGGTTCCCGTCCAAAGCGCGATGTTGACCACCAGGAAATGCGTATCCGGGGCCTCGAGAAGCTCCAGCAGGCGGTCCGAGATGGACGGCAGGTAGGGCGTGAGGGAATCGAAGCAGCCATCGCAAATCGCGCCCAGCGCGAGCACTGCGGCCTCGATATGCATCCAAGGCTCGCTAGGCTGCATCATGCGATCGATCTCCACCAACACCGGCATCAACACACGATCCCCAAAGTACTCGCTCAGGTTGTCCAGCGTGAGCGCGGAGACCCGGCGGAGATTCCACTCCTCGACCCCCTCCTCGTCCTCGTCGTCGTCGCTGTCGTCCCGGTTGGTATTCTGCACGCGCGCCTGGTATTGGCGGGGGCGAATATCATCCAACTTATCGGGCTCATTCCAATCGGACGGGTTGGCCTGGAGCATGCTCATCTCGAGCTCCGAGTATACCATCGCCGCGATCAGACGTGGGATGAGCCGCGCGATCGCCGGCTCCGCGAGCTGCGCGAATCGCGGGAAGTGCAGGACGGCCCGCCAGAACTCCGTCGCGGCGAT